TAGCTCCTGAATTAAATGCATGGCAAGCATGGCATTCATACATATAGTCGCACATAAAAGCATAAAGGGAACTTACCAGCATACAGAAGTTACCTTAATATTGCTCAGGTACCCTGCAGATCTCACTTGCACAAAAGTTCATGGTAGTCTTCTGGACATCAAGCTCAGCCAATCCTCGCAGTGTTGCCCTCCTCACATCGACAGCAAACATCATTGCCAACTTGTCCATGTTCCTGGGTCTGGTTTGAGAAATCAAGTAAATGACATCATCATCCATGCTTAGGATGGGGTATCCCAACGGAAGTTCCTTCCATGTTCCTGTGGTCTTGCTGCTCAGCATAGCCATGAGATCAGAAAGACATGGGTCACCAGCCTCCAAGTTGATGTCTTTCACGTCAACTACACAGTCACAGCGCCAGCCCTCCGACGAACCAACCGGTATTGCCATGTTCCATGTTGTGGACTTCCAGCCATCACGCTTGAGCTGCGGTTTCCTTGAGCTATTGCGCACCCAGTCAGCATAGGAAACAGGGGTGGCTTTCGGCTCTTCTGGTGACAGGACTTCCAACCATTCCAACTCAACATACTTGATCGAGTCTTTGTTCCGGCTGACAGTTACGTCCCGCAAATAGCCGGGGTTACCATTTCTGAGGAGGCGATCCCAGTTAGCCCTTGCCGGCTCCGGCAGCGGGACATCCTGGAGCTGTGGGCATTGTCTGAGCACGTCGCAAAAGAAGATGCCGCGCCAAAGGTCCACCCAAGCCACGGTGCCATGCGCACCGCCAATGGTGATGGTCTTCGCCGTCTCGTGGTACAGCCTGTCGACTGCCCGAGGTAAAGGGATAAGTTTGTCCCTCTTGAACTCTTTCAGTGACAGCCGCTTGGAGATCCACCCTTCGGAACCTGAGGATGATCTGTACAGGAGGAGGTCGAACTCCCAGCTAATGAGCTTGCGGCCATTGTACAGGGGGGGCCTAACACCGAGATCAGCGACGGCAAACCAAGCGCCGTCATCGCGGCTAATGAGGGCGGTTGCGGCGGCGTCGAGCGCCCCGAGGTGCGGGGGGGTCGGTACCAGATCTAGCCACTGGGCGCGCGGCCTGTAGACGAAGTGGTCCCAGTTCCAACCTGAGATGCTCCTGCCGTTGGGGTCGAGGGGAACGCGGAGGAGGACGAGATCCGCGTCGGTGGCGACGATCTTGGGCCCTATGCGGCTGAAGTCCAGGCCAGGGCAGTGGACACAGAAGTGGGAGACAAGTGGCGGCCGGGCGGCGCGGAGGGTCACCTCGATCGGCAAGCCGGTGCTCGTGGTGCTCTTGGCGGTGGTGTTGTTTGGGAGGTAGGCGATGTAGCACAAACTGTCGAGGAGGATCAAGCCTGAGGCGGCGGCGGGCTCGGGAAGTGAAGGTGGAACCCAGGAGGAAACAGTGGAGGCAGCCATGTCCCGATGTCCGTGAAAGACGAGGAAGCGGAGGAGGGG